GCCACTTTGGGTGTACGTGGCTGGCACCTTAGCCACTTGAGCCACAGGCGCTGAGCCCCTTTTTAATGTTATTATCTTAGAGCATATACCATATGCCCTTGATTTAATAAACTCTAATATTAATTGGTAGTTTAACACTTATCCCAGACAATATAAGGACTCCATATAGTATTTTTCAACTTATATGCTATTGGTGTTATATGTTTTAATTATTTGAATACACAACTTCAAAATAAGTTTGCATTTTTATTGCTCAGTATTAACATAATGGAACTTTAAGATTTTCCCCCCCATGTAAATGTTGTATGGTACACAGGAAGTATTAAGAAGAATAACAATTTCCTCTTTACATAAATTTATGCTTGTAAAACAGGGATGGATTGGATAACTTCAGAAATTTTCTTAAGAGGGCTAGGTGTGGTAGCTCATGCCTGTAATCCTTGTACTTCAGGATGCTGAAGCAGAAGGATTGCTTCAGCCCAGGAATTTGAAGTTGCAGTGAGCTATGATGCCATTACACTGCACCCTGGACAATGGAGTTAGAACTTGTCTCAAAAACTTTTTTCTTGGTGGTGCCCGTTGCTCAGTGGGTATGGTGCTAGCCACATACACTGAGGCTGGCAGGTTCAAACCTGGCTCGGGCCAGCTAAAACAACAATGACAACTGCAACAACAAAAATATAACTGGGTGTTGTGGCATGTGTGTGCAGTCCCAGCTATTTGGGAGGCTGAGGCAAGAGAATCACTTAAGCCCAAGAGTTTGAGGTTGCTGTGAGCTGTGATGTCACAGCACTCTACCCAGGGCGACATAGTGAGCCTCTGTGTCAAAAATAAATAAATAAAATTTTTTTTCTTTAGAGAATTGTATTAAAAACGAAACCACATGCACACACAACACATATACACACACCTCTACAGTTCTTCTGTCTTTGATTTCTAAGTCCCCCTTCCCCTCAGGACTATTAGCTTTCTTTTTTCTCTCTGTGCTTTTGGTTTTCTTTTTCACTGATTAAGGCTTTCACTTCCCTGGACCTGTTTTCACTTTGTGGTTCCTTTGTTGCAACTTCTGCTGTCTGCAGTTCTTTCTCCACTTTTTCAACTTACCTGTCTCTTGTTACTTCTTACATTTCACTCAGAAGGTCTATGCTTTTGTAAAGATAGCTAATCAAGGCCTTCAAGTTGACAAAGCAGCCAGTCACAGTGAATGGAGCATTATTTTTGAGTATTTGACTTTTTGGCTGCATTTGTTGCTGCTTAGTGTTCAAAAAGTTTTACCACTCAGAGCCTTCTAAGTTACTTGTGAACACCAGCAAGCTAGTCTCTGGATAAACTGAGGTTTGACTGTATTGTTAAGGTAGTTGTGATATTGGTCAATGTAAAATTTATTTTTAATTATAATCTATACATGTATTGAGGTTGTCTATTTTTAAAATTCTCATCTTCCTTCTACAAAGAATGAAAAAATAATAGAACAACAGCTTCTTGTGGATCAGCTGAATGAAGAACTAACAAAACTTAACCTGTCAATGACTTCTTCAGCTAAGGAAAATTGTGGAGATGGGCCAGATGCCAGGATTCCTGAAAAGAGACCATATACTGTACCATTTGATACTCATTTGGGTCATTATATTTATATTCCATCCAGGCAAGACTCCAGGAAGGTAAAGTCCAAACATTAATCTTTTTCTTATTTTGAGATTTAAAAAATATATATTTAATGTCACGTATGTTTATACAGTCTCAGCAGTTTTTTCTGTTTGCTTTCATGGACTTTTGTGTATTCATTTTCTTTTAAACATACTTTTTTTAAATTTAATTTAATTTATTTATTTATTTATTTTTTTATTGAATAGTAACTGTGTACATTAATGCACTTCTGGGGTACAGTGTGGGGTTTTCACAAACAATCCGAAACACTTCCATCAAACTTCCATCAAGGTTAACATAGCCTTCATGTAATTTTCTTAGTTATTGTGTTAAAACATTCATATTCTACTCATAGAAAGATTCACTTGTATAAACATACTTTTTAATAAAAAATTAAACAAGGTAATGCATAGTTATATTGAGAGGGAATAGTTAGATGAAGATAATTTTTATACTTCATCAAGGAGAAAAAGATACCCTTTGTCATATTTTCAGACACAACTAAATCTGATATCCTCACGAATTGTTTTCTTCCTTTAACAGTACTAAGTTGAGATGAAATTGGAGGGTATTTAATTTAGGCTCATTTGGTCTAATTTCAAAATAACATTTATTATTATTCAATCTTAATAGTTGACATAGTCAAGATAGTAAAGAGATGAATATGAAGTTTAGTTTGTGGGTGGAGAAACATATGCATACATTGATTTCTCTTAAAAATTATCAAGGAATCTCTGTCAGGGAAAAGAAGGCAGGCTTGACTGTGAATATCAGCTCTGTTGTATTGTCTTGGACATAGGATTAGACCCCCAAGGGAGGCCCAGTTTCCTTATCTATAAAAATGAGGGGTAACATGGTGGGGAGGAAAACACATAATTAAACAAATAAATAACACTTCAGGTGCAGTGGCATGTGCCTGTGGTCCCAGCTACTTAGGCAGATGAGGTCAGGAGGATCACATTAGCCCGGGAGTTTGATGCTGCATTATGCTATGATTATGCTTGTGAACAGCCACTGCACTCCAGCATGAGCAATAAAGCAAGATTCTGTCTCGAAGAAATATTTTAAACTAAAAAAAATAATAAATAAGATCTTTTCTGAAACCTCTTTCCCTCTAGTGTATATAAGCAAGCATATAAGAATTAAACTCTTCCAGAGGTAGGGAACTTGTGGTCTTCTAGATCTTTAAGTGCAGGCTTTTGACTGATTTCCAGATTTTAAAGAACAAATCTGAAGTAACTATATTTAGTTTTATTCAGAGGAGACATGACTGTTTTCAAACATTTGAAGACTTATTAATTTTATATTTTTTTCTTTAGAGTTAGGAGTGATGAGAGGGCGCACTAAGGAAATACAAAGAACTTAATTAATGAGAATAGCTAAAGATGGCATGAGAGGGCTTAGGGCTTGTTAGAGCCACCACAGTGAATGTGTTTCAGCAGAGCTAGATAATTTGCAGTATTGCAGAAGAGAGTCAGACACAGACATTAGATGAGGGTTGAACTAGCTAACCTTTCCAGGTAGTTGTTTCAGCCTCAGGGCAGTGTAATTATAGGAGAAAATGATTAGAATTAAAAAATTGGCATTTAGATACATACTCTTTAGTTAGCCAAATTGTCAATCAGCTTATATTTGTACTTATATTATGAATCAATATTGTTTGGAGTACTGTTGAAAATGCAGAAATATCACTAGTGGTGAGCTGTGGAATGCCAAAGCAACTGAGAGGAGATAAGACCCAATACTTTGGTTAGGAGGAGGCCAGATAATAGAAGGCTTTATGAACCTGCCATTATATTGGGCAGAAATGTTATTCATATGGCAGATCTTATTTGATGTTCATTATTAAGCTGGACCATTTGGTTTTCTTTGTAATAAGAAATGTTAACAACAAATTACAATCCCAGATAACAAAGTTTGACTTTGAACAAAAAAGTTCTATTTGCTCCTGAAATAATTCTCAAATGCATACAAGAGAAACCTTGATGCTTGCCAATTATGAGGCAAGATGACCATGCTAAGTACAATGTACTTGTTAGATAAATACTTCTTGATTTGGTTCTTCTGAAAAGAAATTCTCCCCTTGAGGGGAATACACCAGAATTGGGAGGCTACCTAGAAAACTTTACCCCCTGTCCGTAGTGGTACTCATGTACAGTCTGCATAGGTGACTGACAGTAGAGGCAGAAAAATCAGATATAGGAGGATCTTTAGTACTAGAAAGGCTTTTCTGAGAGGGAATATGTGAGGGACCTACTAACACGTGATTTAATCTTGAACACTATATAAGTATCATATAGTTGACCCCCCTAGGGACTATAACAAACTGGTCAGCCTACAGAGATGGTCAACATATGGAATTTCCACTGAGTCCATGCAATGCATGCCTAGCCTATGAAAATTAGGTCAACTTAAGGAAGTGGTCATTATAGGGAGGTGCTCAACTATGGAGGTTCTACTCTATCTGTTACAATTTTAACAGCTTATGATTTATTTTATTTTATTTTATTTTGCAGTTTTTGGCTGGGGCTGGGTTTGAACCTACCACCTCCGGCATATGGGGCCGGCGCTCTACTCCTTTGAGCCAGAGGTGCCGCCCACAGCTAATGATTTATACTGATAAATGTCTCCTTTAAGATTTTATTATTTCCTTTTTTTTTGAGAAATAACCTTAAGGCTTGATTGCAGAGAAGTGATGAAAAAGGAAGTATTTGGTAATAGAAACTAGAACAAAAGAATAATGGCAATTGCTAATTTGTTTTCCAAGATCATTTTTTGAGAATTTACAGTGCATTTGCAGTAGAAGCATGTTATAATGTAGAAATTTGCCAGGCTAGCCTAATTTATCCTACGATACGTACTAAATATATCACTAGACCATTAATTCAGCAATACCTAACTATCATATGTTAAACATGAGTAAATATATTCTAATATCCAAACTCGGACTGTTTGCCCTGGCAGAGAGAGTGGTGACAGCTCTGGATTTCTTCGGGTGGTGGGATTTGGATTGGAGGGGGATGCACACCTTTAGCAGCACCATAGTTGTCTGAGTGTTCTGAACTGGGAAGACTGGGATGTGGCCACATTTATTGTGGAGTTCCTGGACTATGTTAAGAGCTGGGATGTTTTCTATGCCTTTCCTTGATTTCATTTTGAATATGATTTTCCATGAAATCATTATTGAGGATATAAGAACTTTCTAGAAAAGAAAGAGCTGTGTAAACTCTGAGAGAAGTATGTTTTCAGGAGGCACAATAGTATTATAAAATTAATTTTGACTTTTTGTGGGAGGAGCATATTTTCAGTGATTATCTATTTTAAGAGTACCTACCTAATAACATCTTTAAAACATATAGAGTAATAAGATAAAAATAGACATTGTAAAAATTACTTTTTTGTTGTTGGGTGGGGCAATTACTTGCAAGGTCTATACAAGTCCTTCTGTGTATTCTTTGGATCAAGTATTTGCTGGATTTCGAACACGAAGTCAGATGCTGTTGGGTCACATAGAAGAACAAGATGAAGTCCTCCATTGCCAATTTTCTGATAACAGTGATGATGAAGAATTAGAAAGCCAAGAGAAATCTGGAATTAGGTATGTTAAATATAGACTGATTTAAAGACATTATATGATATAATAAATATAGAAGATATAATTTTTTATTAAAGTGTATCTTTTCCATTGAACATAAGAGTAGGTAGTTTTTGCTAAATATACTGTCAACTAATGTATTATGAAAATTGTGTTTGAACACAAGTCATCAGTCTTTTTTTTTTTTTTACTTTCGTACCATCAAAAGTTTATTTTTAGTACTAAGAGCAGAGCAATATCTTTGGCAATCTTCACAATGACTTATTTCTGAAATAAGAAATAATTTTTAGCATAAAAAGTGAATATTTTGTGGGCATACATAAACTCTAATGCATTGCTATAACAAACAAACCAAAAGCTAAATTAATTCTCTAATTCAGTTGATTTTCTTTTATTAATTTTTCTTACTTATACATATTAGGTTTCCACTTTTGCCTTTACAGAATTAAAAAGGCTAAATTTAATGACAATAACAATATTTAACATAAGAATTGAGAACAAAAACCTCATAGAGAACGAATGAAGATAAATACATTAAGAAAAGAAATCAGACGATTGCAACAAAATATTAAGCAATAGTAATAGTAATAATGCAAAGAAAGTAACATTCACATTGTCAGATAGAAGTATGTCTATTATAGAATACTTTGATCAGTTAACTTGTTTTTTCCAAAGTCTCAAAAAAATAGACAACTAATATTTATAAATGAAAGTAACAGATAATTTCAAAAAAACAGATCATGCCAAATCTTATAGACAATAGAAAAAGAAATACTTTAGAATCATTCTACTTAATCTGGATACACTTGATATTAAAATTGGAGAAAATATATTATAAGGGAGAAATTACAAACATATTTCACTTATAAATGAGGATGCAATATGATAAACAACATATTAACATGTTGAATTAAAAATTAATGTTTAAGTAATATACTTTGGTCCAAATTAAATATAATTTATATAAGAATTAGTCACTAATTTTTTTATTATGAAAATTATGTTTGAACACAAATCATCAGTCTTAAAGTAAAAAATAATTGACTCGGCGCCTATAGCTCAACCGGCTAAGGCGCCAGCCACGTACACCTAAGGTGGCGGGTTCGAATCCCCAGCCCAGACCCGCCAAACAACAATGACGGCTGCAACCAAAAAAAAAATAGCCGGGCGTTGTGGCAGGTGCCTGTGGTCCCAGCTACTTGGGAGGCGGAGGCAGGAGACTCGCTTGAGCCCAGGAGTTGGAGGTTGCTGTGAGCTGTAATGCCATGGCACTCTACCCAGGGGGACAGCTTGAGGCTCTGTCTCAAAAAAAAAAAAAAAAAAGTAAAAAATAATTATGCTTTCAGAGCTTTTATACTAATTAGATTCTAATTTTCTTTTTTTTTTTGAGACGGAGCCTCAAGCTGTCCCCCTGGGTAGAGTGCCATGGCATCACGCTCACAGCAACCTCCAACTCCTGGGCTCAAGCGAGTCTCCTGCCTCAGCCTCCCAAGTAGCTGGGACTACAGGCGCCCGCCACAGCGCCTGGCCATTTTTTGGTTGCAGCCATCATTGTTGTTTGGCGGGCCCGGGCTGGGGATTTGAACCCGCCACCTCAGGTGTATGTGGCTGGCGCCCTAGCCGCTTGAGCCACAGGCGCCGAGCCAGATTCTAATTTTCAAAAGGAACTTTTCGAATTTCCTGATTCTGCTGCTATGGTGGCAATAAACATGAATTTTCCACTGGCTCCAACTTGGGGGGTCATTGTTTTATTTTGTAAATATTAGTAAAATTCTAGTTTTTAAATATAATTTTTAATGTTACTGTCACTTTTGCGGGGAAACTAATTTGAAGACACATTAGAAAATGCTAACAAGTTAATTTCGATTCTAATTTTTTTTTTAGATGTACAAGTCGCTCATGGACTCGGAAGCCAGGCTCTGTTTGTTCTCTTGTTGAACTGAATGATACTCCGGATGAAACACAAAAGTCAAATTTAGTGAACGAAGGTACATGGGCTTTCTCAATTAACTTAGATTTCTTGGTGTAGGACTCTTCTTTTTCTTCAGTTGATAAGTTAAGAAACATCTAGGAATTCTCAAAGACCAGAACGTAGTAGGAATGCTTCCCTGCTTGGTAGAGCTTCCTTTATGTTCCCTGTTCTACCTGTAATTTTTCAACATCTTTACTCCTTAATAAAAAAGATTTTCTACCAATCAATTCTGATTAGAGATCTAGGCTAACTCTCTCAGAATAGGGATTTTTATATTATAACCTGAATTAATATGCTTTGGTACTTTTAATTACTTTAAAATACATCATAAGTAACTTCCTGGTGTGTACTTTACTGCTTCACTGGCACTCGTGCCTAATGCTAGTGATGTATTTGACATTACAGCCCAATTAGTTTACTAGGTGCTTGTAATGTTTTAGTGCACAATTGATAGTTTTTTTTTTTAACGTTATTTGCATTTATTTTATGTTGCATCTATTCCTGTGCCATAAGTTTTGTTTCTTCAGTTTCTTCTGGGATATCTTTTTCTTCTGTGCTACCTCTTCTTCTGGTTTGGGAACAATTTGTTCCTTTTCAGTAAGGGTAATCTCCATGTGGCAGGGGGAGCTCAGGTATGAGTTAATGTGACCATGAGCTCTGTGAGTTCGGCAACTAGCTTGGGTGGTTTGTTCACTTGGATATGATCAATGACCAGAGAAAATCTACATCTAAACTCTAAGTTCAGCATTACTCTCTGCATTTTTAAGCATGTGCAGCAGAAATTCCGCACTCTTTTTGGGTCAGTGACCCTGTGTCCAGCCCCACTGTTTGGTCTGGACATACCTACCAGCTCTACCATTGTAATATCGGAATGGTACACACTGTTTCTTTAAAGTGACATCCTTCAGATAGTTGGTGGCTTGTCATATATGCATATCCTTGATGGTCTGGCGGTTTCCTGTGTGTTCTTAAAGTGAACATTAAGCTTTGAGCCTCCTGACTTGCATGACTGTGGGATTTTCTGAGTCGAGTGAATAGCAAACCATTTTCACAGATCTGACAGGTCGCTTAGGGGAAGAGTTGACGTGAATTTTTATGCATTAAATAATAGTATCAAAACATTTATGTTGCAAAAACTGTAGTATAGGACTTTTTAACTCATCCCTTTTGGCCAATGCATGGTCAGCGCACAAAAAGTAAGGTATAGAGATTATAAATATCATGATAAGTGCTACACGATGAAAATAAAGAGCATCTTTTTAAGAGCCTATATATGTAAAAGTTACCAATAATATAAGTATAATATTTTAACTAAATTTATTTTAGTAAAAATTCAATATGTAGAAATAGTAAAGATAAGTGTTCATTCTTGAGCTATTTTTTACTGGTCTACAACCAAGGAACAAACTTATGCCAGAATATAAATGAGTACACTGGTTCCTTCATTGAAAAAACCCTGCTCTGAAAAAAATGTGCCCTAAGCTAAAGCTTAATGACATAGTTGATGGACATTCTGGTGAAGGAGAGTAACAGTGTTGGGCTACACTCTTAGTAACATGGTATAGAATGCATTGACTGATTACAATAAAAGTAGAAGTTAACAGGAAAAAAATTCACCATTTTACCCACCTGGAGATTTTATCCCTATTTCAAATCTTAGGTTAAAGGTAATGAAAAACCATGTGTCCCAAACTGCCACCTTTGACTAGAACATATAAATTTTTTTCTTTTCATTTCTAAGGAAATGAAACTTCTTACTATAAGCTAGAAAGCTCAAGTCCTAATTGCTGTATATTTTTTCCTCTTTCTTTCCCTTCCTTTTTTGTCCCTTCCTCTGCTACCTATAAAGTACTTTTCTTTTTTAACTCAACTTCCATTGAATATCTTACTAGAAGATAGTTTTATTTCTTTCATTTTAAAGATTTAAAGATTGAATGTCTCCAGGAGAGTCACGAGGTGAATTTGCAAAAATTAAGGAATTCAGAACGCCTACTTACTGAAGCTAAACAAAAAATGAGAGAACTTACAATTAACATCAAGATGAAGGAAGATCTGATTAAAGAATTAATAAAAACAGGTAATAGTAACCTGTGAACCAGTTTATACGAGACAAAAAAAATTTCTAAAATTGCTTCTGATGTAGTAACGTTTAGTTTTTGAAGCTCAAGAATACCAATAGGATTGGTTTGGGTGTAACAAGGTGTGTGTTAGAGCTAATATGTGGAGGTTAGTTATCAAAAAAAAACTTTGTAATGTTGGGATTTCATCTCTGAATTGTTCTAACCAATGTAAACTCTGTGTTGCACTGAAACTCTACAGCACTTTTTTTTGCCATTTAAGAAGCTTTATACTTGGTATCTAGGAATATGTCTGAGATATTTTTTCTAGTTCACTTTAATAATACTTATTTTAAATTATTAGTCTTTATTTCCTTAGCTTATTCTTAACATTAATTATAAACTTTATATTTTAGATGTAGATTAACTTTTATTTCACTAAAGATGTGAGGATTTGTTCTGAGACCTCTTCTCTTAGGTGAGCCAGATTTTTAGCTTTTGACCTCCTATGTCTTAAATCCTTTACGCTGGGAGTATGTACCACATCCCATCCTCATCCTCGGTTAGACTAGGCTTGACTTAGAAAGGGCATCTCAGGCTTTTTCATTTCTTCCCCCCAGTATACTAAAATTATCAGCTTTGACTAGTTTGAAATTTAGTAAAGAATCAAAGGAATACGAGCCACTAGCATTTCTCGTCCCCAATCCTATGAAAAACAACTCTCTGGTTTCATTTGGAGGAAATGAAGAAAATATTATCTTCTTTTTATTGAATCCCAAGGCTATCACACTATAGCAGTTATAGTGTGTTCTAAATCCACTGTAAACAACAATAATCCTGCCTCCCTCCTTCCTTTCTTTTTCCTACAAGTTTGGTTTTAGGTTATTGGTCTTCTTTTCCCAACCTCCTCTTCTTTTTTTTTTTTTTTTTTTTTTTTG